GATGTTTTCTTAATGTACAGTTACTCTTTATATAAAGCTCTGTCCTATACACAGATGAGTGTTTATGAATTTGTTTCTCTAGTCTACCCAGACTTACACAAAGTTTAAGTAAATCCTGAGCTCTTTTTAGAAGGAAGAGAAGCAATGGTTCCATCTGAACTTCCCAGAATGAGGTCATCACTCAGATGTGAAAACATCCAGGTTACAATGTGCCTTTCACCAGGTTCTGAATTGATCAAAAACAGTGAAGAATCATTGTTCAAAATGGTTTTAAGTGATAATCACCGTTATCAATTACACTGATTACAATAACTCTTTCTACACAGAGACACATATACATAGGGAAAATAACAGGAAGGTGTAGAGTCAGTGGTGGGTAGTGATGAGGAGGTGAGATAGGGGTTTTTGTTCCAACATGGCACCTGTAGGAAGATATGGGTGGAGTCTAGCCTTGTGCGTGTGGCCTTCTCATAAGGAGGGACCTAGGAACCTCACCTCTCTTTCTCTCCGCCTTCACGTCCTGCTGGCTGACCCTGATGGCCACCAGAGCCCTGGAAATGCATCTACTGTCATTGGATCCACACGACTTTGCACCCACCGTCTTGTGACCTTCCTGCATTCTGCATCATTGTTTGTGACTGCATGAGTCTGGAGAGGGACTTATGGACTAGTATAGGACTTAAGGACTTGAGTTGGACTGGGCTGGAATGTTGTCCTGTTATATAAAGCTTCTTGATATAAAGGTCTTTCTTATACATGAGTGTCACTGCATTTGTTTCTCTGGTCAACCCGACCTAACATAGGAGGGAATAGGTCGGAACACTCAATTTTGGTCTGAAGGAGAGGGCCAGGTACACACACACACACACACACACACACACACAGTTGTTGTCAAGTCAATTATGAGTCATGAAGATCCTCCTTCAGAAACAGATCAACAGGCCTGTTGGCAAAGCGTCTCTGGGTGGGATTGAACTATCCACCTTTCCACTAGTAGTCGAGCACCTCACTGGTTGGGCCATACAAAGGCTCCATTATTTAAAAGGGAGAGACTTGATGAGTTCACAGGTCAAAGAGAAGGAGTAGGTAGAGAGGGCTTGAAGCTACAGGTGGGAGCAGGTGGAGGCAGGCTTGGTTAAGACAAAGGAGCTGAAGTACTGCTACACCAACTGCTGGGTATCCCATGAGGATGTGGGTCCTGGTTCAGTAAGCCAAGCGGGGAGAGGGGGGTGTCTGCCTTCCAAGCAAGGGCTCCAGATGATCTGCAAAGGTTTGGGATGCACAGATCGAGAGTCTTGCTTATAGTCCAAAACCACAGCAGAAGCTCATTAGAGATGTGGGATCCTGGGCGCCACCCCAGAGCTACGTATAGAACCAGAATCTGCGCTGCCACGAATCTCCAGGTGGTTCCAAGGCGGGCTCCAGTTTGCGAAGCAGCGCTCCAGAACGGGTGAGAGACCTGGCCGCCTGCCGAGGGAGCCGGAGAGCGGGAATCATTGTTGGGAGAACAATTGGAAAAGGAAGGCAACAAGGAGGTGCTAACGTTTTGATAGATGGCTAACTCTAAAGCCTGTTTTATCAGGTGCCATCAGGTTGGTTCTGGCCTTAGGGACCCGATCGATGTATCGCAGAATGAAGCCCTGTGTCATCCCCACTACTGTCCCTCTGCCTGAGCCCGTTGTCCCAGCCGCTGGGTCAGGCCATCTCGTAGAGAGTACTTCCTCTTTTCAGTGCCCTCCTACTTTATCAACCATGACGTCCTTTTCCAGGGGCTGGTCTCCCCTGGCAACATGTCCAAAGTACCTGAGACAAAGGCTTGCCATCCTTGCCTCTAAGGAGCCCTCTGGCTGCACTTCTTCCAGGACAGATTTGTTTGCTCTTTTGACAGTCCGTGTACTTGCAATATTCGTCGCCAGCACCGTTGTGCAAACCCATCCATTCTTCTTTGGTCTTCCTTACTCGCTGTTCAACTTTCACGTGCCCATGAGGCGACTGAAAATACCATGGCTTGAGATAGGTGCACCGTAGTCCTCACAGTAACATCCTTGCTTTTCAATACTTCAAAGAGGTCAAGACTCTTCGTGCAGCAGCTTTACCCAATGCAGTACATTGTTTGACCTCGATGGCTGTATCCATGAGCACTGATTATGAATCCACACAAGAGGAAATCCTTGGCGACTTCAATCTTCTCTCCATTTATTGTGATGTTACCTACTGGTACTCGATATACCAGTGACATAACTTCCAGCATCACAGCAACACACAAGCCACAGTGGCAGACAAAGTGGCAGACAAGTAGTAGGCTCTGATGCCTAGCAGAGGTTAAACACCATCTGCCGTGATGGTCCTTAGAGGTGAGGATGAGGAGACTTTCACTTGATGGTTTTAGACATATGCTCAGGGAAGAGCAATCACAAGAAAAGGACATTATGCTTGACCAAGTCGAGGGGTGACAAAAACAGAGGAAATCCTCTGAGATAGTTTATTTTGCCAGCCTGGCTGATAAACGCAGGTGGAATTAACTGAAGGGCAGAGAGATAAATGGCTTGGTGAGCCTCGCCGTTCTTGTCTCTCGCTCTGTGATCATTGGACCAGTGTGTGGCTGCCTTGCTTGTTCCGTGCCTCAATTTAAAGGCTACACTATCTGTGGGACGCCTAGCCTGTGACTGTGTCACTGTAAGTTGAAGTCCCTTTAAGACATCTCTGGAGCTGGGGACTGGTGGTTGGTGGCCTGCCTTGTGATTGGCTGCTGTGCCGACATAGCCTAGCTCTCTCTACAAATAGAGGAAGATCTGGCAGCAGACTAGACTTGAAGGACTGCTAGTCTCTCACAACTCTCTCTCAAGGACGTGAGTTGCACTGAGCCATTTGTAGTGCTTTATAATTTAACTGTTTGTTTCTTGTATTACATATTTATCAGTATATGATTTAACAGTGCATTTCTTGTTATATATCTAATTATCTTTATAAATAAATATATTAAATTATCAGCCATTTGGTTTTCTCTCTCTAGAGAACCTTGTCTAACACATCCTCCATGAGACGGATCAACTCAAGAGCTATGACAATGGACTCAAGCACATCAACAACCAGGAAGAAGGTGCTGGACCAGCTGATGCTGAGCTCGGTGTGACACGAGGACCTCATGCATGGAAGTCCAGGGGGTGGCAGCTAGCAATAATAGTGATGGCAGCTCTTTGGTTATCAGTAGACTGTGACATTTCCATGGCTTGGTTGTTACACTTGTGCAAAAGGCTTCCTAGTAGTGCCTAATGTTTGCATTTCGTCAAGTACCTTCATGCTTTAAAAGAATCAAGATGTTGCTCTCCTTCCCTTATTTTTGTTTTGTTTTGTTTTAACTGATTGCTGTAACTCTAAACTCCTTTTCTCCATTCTGGAGTTGGTGGGGTCAAGATGCCTAAGAATGATCTACCCAGAAGAGAGAATGCTATCACATTCTCTATGTTATTAGCATAGTCCAAGTTAAGCGGAGGTACATTCTAGACTCTACTTTCAGCTTGCCACTCACCAAACACTCTTGGTCCACCCTTACTCACCCTAGTGCTTATATTTTCCTCTTCTCTGAACTCTTAAGGACTGAGCTGAGGGAACCAGCCATCCAGGCATTCCCCATTGCTGGCATAGTTACTTACATTTTCAAGTTATGAATAGTAAGCACTAAGGGTCCTTATAAATCGATCATACCAGAACTTCCTGGAAGCAGTACAGTCAGAATGCTTCTAGACACAAGGATGGTGAGACTTCATCTCTCATGGTTGGGACTCATTAACCAAAGAGACTAACCCCTAGAGAAGGGCGTCATGCTTGGTCCAGTAGAGAGTGAGTGAAGAAGAGGCAGACGCTCAAGGAGATGGACCGACACAATGACTATGATGATGGGCTCAAAGATAGCAACACTTGTGATCTGCTGTCGGACTGGGCCACCATCTGGTTACTCTGCATGGGGCTGCTCTGATCGGGAACTGGCTGGACAGCAGCTAACATACCAGCACTTACATACTCAGGAATGTTCTCTTCTTCAACGTAGTCGTTTACTCTAATGATGTTGCACTGCTGGAAGTATTTATTAAATTCCTGAGAACCTCCCTTGAGAAGCTGGCCTGCGTGCTTTTTAATTTCTTAAATTGAGGCATAACTTTGCCCTTTGAAGATTGATTGGTTATTTGAAACAGTAAGGAGAAATACAAATGGATAATTAAGGGAGGCAATGAAGTCGGGCAATGGCGTCTTTCAGACAAAATAAAACTCTACCCCTGAGGTAATGAGAAGAAAAGAAAACCCTCTCGTTCTGTGGATAACTTCAGGGTGTGGATTTTTGGAACAAATTAACAGCCTCCAAGATGGCCATTTTACTGAGAGCAGAAGCTCAATTCACTAGATCAATCCTTACACATTTGTTCCAGAACTGAATGTCAAAGATGAACTTTACGACCCTTGTCTTCAGAGCAGGCTCATCGGCATCACCAATGCTCTTCCTTTGTGAACTTCATCGTAAGCACAGATCCTCTTTTTTCTGAGATCGGAAGCTCCCTGAATGCAGGGGGATGCGTTAGCCATCTTTCTGCAACAGCGTTGGGTTGCAAACTGCAATGTCTGCAGTGCCAGCCCGCAGCCCTTCCTGGGAGGGAGATAAGGCTGTCTGCTCCGGTAAAGACATGCCATCTCAGGAGCCCTATGCAGGTTCCCATGAGTTGGAATGGACTCCCCGGTCATGGGTTAGGGTTGAGTTTTGATGACATAACAGCATGCACATAGAAACCACTCAAATTGTATCTGGTAAATGATTGAATCATTGAGTGAATGAAGGGTGTCAGTCACTGTTGTCCTAGAGATGTCTACTGACTTTACACAGCGACGAGAAGCCCTAGTGTTGTAGTAGTTACACACTGGGCTGTGATCTGCAAGGTTAGCAGTTTGAAACCACCAGATGCTTATCAGGGGAAAGGTGGGACTTTCTACTCCCATAAAGGGTTGCAGTTGTGTTTGCTTCCCCAGCACATACACTAACCTTCGAACGACACAGAGAAGATCAGCATGGCCCCTGCGCAAGTATGACATGCAGATTCGTGACGCGTTCCGTATTTTTCCAGGAACCAATAGAGAAGTCTGCGGGGCTGGCCCCAACTCCAAATATGTGGACCCCGTCCCCCCACCCCCACCCCAGAAGAATGCACTTCAGAGGACAGCACTGAAGCTACAGCTTGGGGAGAGGGGCACGTCTGCTCAGAGCACACAGGAGACACGAAGAGGGAGGGAGAGGGAGGGGCATCCATCCCGGCCCGCCAGGGCACGCAGCAGAGCAGCAAGGGAAGCAAAGCGATGAAACCCCCGGGGAACACCAAAACTAGACTCTGGAGACAGAGTGTGGCACCCCATCAGACTCAACTGGAAAACAACCAGACCTTGAACTCTTTATAGGCGTTTCCATTTTTGTCAGCGCTTTCTTTTTGCTGTTATTTTGTTTTTCTTTTGTTGCTGTTGTTTTTTTGGTTTTGACTTCCTCTGTTGTTTTGTTTGGCTTTGCCTGGTTTTTGCAATTATTAATGTCTCTGCATGTCTATCCAGATAAGATAGGTGGGACAAACAATTTGGAGACAAAAACAATGGGACCAAAACAAACAAACAAAAGAAAACCATGGGACCGATGGTTCCAGGGAGATACAGGAAAGGGGGGGGTAGGAGAAAGAAGGAGGTGGGAGGAAACAAACCCAGGGACAGGGAATAACAAGTGAACTAAAATCAATGGAGAGAAGGGTAGAGGATGCCTAATGGGACTTGATCAAGGGCAATGTGGCAGTGAAGAATCACTATACCTGAGTGAAGGCCAAACATGATGGAGAGACAAGAGGAAAGTAAAAGGAAATAGAGGAAAGAACCAGGAGGCAAAGGACATTTATAGAGGTCTAAATACAGGCATGTACACATACATAAATATATTTATATATAATGAGAGGGGGGCAGATCTATGTACTCATATCTATATGTTAAGAATTAAGATTGCAGATGGACTTTGGGCTTCAACTCAAGTACTCCCTCAACACAAGAACATTTTATTCTGACAATCCGGCATTCTGTGATGTTTACCTTCCTGACACGGATCGCTGAAGACAAAATGGGTGCATGAACAAATGTGAAGAAAGCTGATGGTGGCCGGCTTTCAAAAGATATAGCGCCTGGGGTCTTAAAGGCTTGAAGATAACAACGGACATCTTGCTGAGAAGCAACAAAGCCCACATGGAAGAAGCACACCAGCCTGTGTGATCACAAGGTGTCAATAGGACCAGGTATCAGGCATCTAAGACCCAGAACAAAGTCATACCCAATGTGAAGTGGGGGTGTGTGTGCCTGTAGTCGAGACGCAAAGCCCATCTGTAGACAATTGGACATCCCCTTACAGAAGGGTCACAAGGAAATGATGAGCCAGTCATGGTGTAGTATAGCACTGGTGAAACACAACTTTCCTCTAGTTTCTTAATGCTTCCTTCCCCCCACTATCATGAACTCAATTCTCCCTCACAAATCAGAATAGACCAAACCATGCACTGCTATAGATCAGGGCCGCTAACGGCAAGGTCAGTAGTTTGAACCCACCAGCTGCTCGGAGAGAGAAAGGGAGGGAAGGAGGCGGGCGAGGGGGGAGACAGGGGAGTGGCGAGGGGAGGCTGTCTGCTTTGGAAACCCACAGGGCAGTTCCACTCTGTGGTCCAGCAGCCATTGACTTGAAACAGCAAATGTGAGTTGCTCTTATTTAATGATTTTAGCCTAAAACTTGTTTACATGCGTCTGAAACTGACTCTTGTGAATCCCCTCCATGTCTTACTGAATCTAATGACCAATGTGCATCTTCCTCTTTTTCTTTCCTGAAAGATCAGTGGCAAATGTTTCTTTGCTCCAAAGACTCGATGACCCTGCTCTTCAAAAGGCTCTTTCTTCTCAGCCTGTGAGACACACACACACACACTATAAAAAGCCCACAATTCTCACTGTCATGGAGTCAGGTTTCCAGGAAAACATACTGCCCACAGACCTCAGGGGAAAGAAGGCAAGTGGGCTTGGTGGCCAATTTAATCAATACACTATTGACCAGGAAGCAATGATCTCATTGCACAAAGGCGTAAGTCACATGGTAAATAGAAAGGAAGGAGCAATCAGGAGTGTCAGCCAAACACATGAGACGGGCACGCTTTTGAGAAGGGGGTGGAGTCAATGACCCTGGGGACCATGAGCCTTCCTCATTAGAAGCCTCAGTGGCGACTCCTTCCTTCCTATGAATGAGGCTTTGTCTATGGAGAGGGCGGGTGTTTCTCCCCCTCCTTGGAGGAGTCCAGCCCCCTGCAGCTATGAGATGAAAACTGTGCTGGTGTAACAATGCAGTATGGTACTGGGATCGTGTTCTTCTATTGTGCTTTTACAGTAAACATCCCTCAGAGTTCATCTGAGATGCCCGATGGACATAAACACTTGCTTCAGTAAGGGTGATGCTCGGGTACACATGACCCTCCCCCTGTCATAGTTGGGGACCCTATCAGTTGACCTCTTGGTACATGGGCCACTGTGTTGAGCAGGAGGCCTGGGAGCTCAAATTCCAGGCAGTAAGTCACAGGGTTACCACATTCACCAGCCTGACCCCCACCCCCCCGTGACAGGTACTGGGAATGGGTTTCACAAGGCTTTGGTACAGGCAAGATGGGCAATGCCCTGCGCCATCCTGGTGATGGCGGTCAACAGCATCTTGCAAAGCCAGGCTGACAAAAGCATCGCCATGCTGTGCCCGTGCCTGCCGGGCCCGGGGTCAGACAAGAATGTCCCAAGCAGAAGGCCAACCCTGTGGGTCCACACTCCAGTCAGGCCGCCCGGAATATCCCCACGATACAAACCACTCAGCCCAATGGCCAGGCAGCCCAATGGCCAATGGCCGGGACTCCTCGGTCTCCCTGGAGAAGTGTCCAAAGTCCAAAGTCCCTTCTTCATTCCCACCCCATTCGAGGAAGAGGGGGAGGTGTGGGGTGTCATACGCTCCTGGATGTAGAAGAAGCAGGCCCTGGCCAGCAACCAGGGAGAAGAGAGGAGGGGTTGACCAGCCTGCCTCCTGCCCCCTCGGGTCCCCTCCCCTTCCTCCCATCTTGCCCGGGTCCTAGGCGATGGAGTGGCTGCTAGCAGGTGAAAGCCACTCAGCCACATTGGCTGGGCGTCTCCTCGGCTTCCGGAAGACTTGGAAATGGCAGTTCTGCCAAGAGCGGCTCTGTGAGGGATGATCTGGGTGACAGATTGCAGTTGAAGACGTCATCTGCTGACCCTGAGGACACAGCAGACCAGTCGGCGTTATTTCCCATCACAAGCAAACAACCCAGCCACAAAGGGATGCTGGTGAGCCCTGCCTCGCAGGGCACGCAAGGGAACACATGCACTAACACGCGGGCATCCCGCTGGCAGGGGAGACTCCCAAGGCTGGGCGGAAACGTGTCCCTGCGTGCTGACAGGGACGAGTCGAGGAGGTCAGGGGCCTGAGGGTGGGCTGCGGACAGGTCTGCAGGGCGCTGTATGGACCTCTCACAGCGTGACCAGAGGCCCCCATGTCTGAGGACCCAGACACCCGGGACACACAGACAGGGTGTGGGAAGGTGGGGCTGGTCCCTGAAGAAGGGCATCATGCTTGGTAAAGCAGAGGGCCAGCGAGAAAGACGAAGGCACTGGACGGCACGGATGGACACAGTGGCTGCCTGGGTGGTGGCAAACCAGGCCAGAGGTGGTGCCGGACCAGGCGGGGTCTCGTACCAGAGGTCGCCGTGAGCCGGCACTGACCCGACGGCACTGAAGAACAGCAACACAGGCAGTTGCTGCGGCGGTTCTCCCGGTGCCATGGGGTCTGTTCCGATTCATAGCGGCCCTCGGTCCCACAGAGTGAACATGCCCCAGCCCCATGCCATCCTGCTTGCTGTCCTAGAGCCCATGAAAGCAGCCAGTGCGCCAATCCATCTCCGTGAGGGTCTTCCTCTTTTACTGGTGCTCCCCAAGCCCTGAGCATGAGACTGGCGCCTCCCAGTGACAGGCCCAAGTCTCGCCAGCCTTACTTCAAAGGAGCATTCTGGCCAGACTCCTTCCAAGACAGCTTTGTGCCTTCTCCCGTCTGTCCGTCCGTCCGTCCGTGGTGGCCCCCTAACACTCACAAGTCAGGGTACCTTACAGGCTCTTCCCCTCTGCCGCACAGGCTCACTATGAGTTGGAATCGGCTTGTCGGCACGCAAGAATAGCATCTCCCAGGACATGGCCTGCCCCTTTGGTGCATCGCACTTCCCCCACCGGTGCCTGAGGATGCTGAGCCTACCTCTGGAGGTGACGCTGAACTTTCGGTCGGAGAAACTGCTCCTGCGAATGAAAGGTTCGCTCATCTTTTCCAGAAACAGCTTAATGGTCTCCTTCTTCTCTGGACTCGTGCTGGACAAATTCAGCACCTTCCCGCTAACCTTGACCGTGGAGTTGCTGAGCCCAAACCAGTAGAAGAAATCAAACAGCGCATCGGCTTTGAACTCATACGCAAAGCTCAGGGCCTCTCCGTTCACCACTTCATTGCCCGGCGGGAAAAAACTCTTCACTGCTTCCTGAAAATCAAACTGAAAGAGAGAGGGACATGTCACACTCCTTTCCCCACTCTAACAAGGAGCCCTGGGTAGCGGAGGGGACTACGTGTAGGGCCACTCACTATGAGGGCAGCAGTTTGAAACCACCGGCCGCACCTTGGGAGAAAGACGAGGCTGCCTGCTCCCATAAAGACCCACAGACTCAGCACCCCAGAGGGCCAGTTCTACTCTGTTCTGTGGGGTTGCTTTGGGTCAGAATGGACCCCGGTGAGCCTGGGCCGGTTTGGAACCATGAACAGTAACTGATTGAGTTCACCATGGCTCATTACAACCTTCGTTTCCCTTTCACCCTGGACAGATGGGTTTCCTCACTGTTAGCATCACACACACACACACACACACACACAATCCATTTTAAATTTGTTCTAGTGTTTTCATATTGTCTGCTTCCTTTTTTGTCTGAGGCTGTTGCCTGTTTAACTTTGCTATGGTTCCTCGTTTTGTCTGTTTGTTTCTTACATCTTTTTCCGTACATGAAATCTAGGGTGGGGCAATCTTTGGAGACAGTAACTGGATTCATGGTTCCTTGGGGGGATGGCAGGGGAGCAATGGGGGGATGGGGGTGGGGGGATTGGAGCTAATAACAATTCAAAAAAGAAAAGGCTCCCAAATGGATTGTGGGGATGATTGTACAACTCTTCTTGATATGAATCAATGATTGGGATGGTATGACATGGGAATTACATACCAATAAAACTGTTCTAAAGAATACAATAAAATCCTGACATCTGAAAAAAACAGTGAAACCTTTGGATTCCACCTCATGTGGAACTGCCTGTTCAAAGTTGTGTTTCTTCTTTGCCAATTTCTAATCAGCAGGCGGCTTCCGGGAGCTCCAGGGGCTGGAGGATGGAATGAAAGGGAGTCAAAGTCTCCGGAGAGTCCCTCCAACCATATTCAAAGGGTGTGACTAGCCTTCCTGTCAGACAGGGGGTTATTGTAAAGTCGACGGTGGCAGATGTCATTTGGTTAAAATGGAATACCATATCATTTGATCTCCCTTTTGATCCATTTTAAAATTGTTTCCAGTGTGCTCACCTTCCTGATACAATCCCTGAAGACAAATGGGTGCATAAGCAAATGTGGTGAAGAAAGCTGATGGTGCCCGGCTATCAAAGGATATAGCATCTGGAGTCTTAAAGACTTGAAGGTAAACAAGCGGCCATCTAGCTCAGAAGCAACAAAGCCCACGTCGAAGAAGCACACCAGCTTGTGTGATCACGAGGTGTTGAAGGGATCAGTTATCAGGCATCAAAGATCAAAAAATCATATCATTATGAATAAGGGGGAGTGCAACTTGGGGACCCAAGACCCATCTGTAGGCAACTGGACATCCCCTTACAGAAGGGTTGTGGGGAGGAGATGAGCCAGTCAGGGTGAAGTGTAGCAACGATGAAACATACAACTTTCCTCTAGTTCCTAAATGCTTCCTTCCCCCACCCCACCCCCACCCCCACTTTCATGATCCCAATTCTACCTTACATATCCGGCTAGACCAGAGGATGGACACTAGTACAGATAGGAACTGGAAACAGGGAATCCAAGACAGATGGACCCTTCAGGACCAAGGCTGAGAGTGGCGATACTGGGAGGGTGGAGGGAGAGTGGGGTGGAAAAGGATCTACATATAACCTCCTACCTGGGGGATGGACAACAGAAAAGTGGGTGAAGAGAGATGTCAGACAGTGTAAGATATGACAAAATAATAATAATTTATAACTTATCAAGGGTTCATAAGGGAGTGGGGAGTGGGGAGGGAAAAATGAGGAGCTGATACCAAGAGTTCAAGCTGAAAGCAAATGCTTTGAGTTTGATGATAGCAACAAATGTACAAATGTGCTTGACACAATGGATTGATGGATGGATGTGATAAGAGTTTTATGAGCCCCCAATAAAATGATTAAATAAATAAATAAATAATTTTAAATATGAATAAATAAAATTGTTTCCGTTTTTAATATTGTCTGCTTTCTTTTCTATGGAGACTGTTCTATGTGTCATGTCGTCGTGGTTGTTGTTGTGAGTGTGGAGGGTTCTTGTCTGTGTGTTGCATGGTTTTGTGGAGAAGAGACCCAGCACAGGGAGATCTAGGGAGAGAGTGACTGGGCTGGTCAGAGCCGAGGGGACCTGCAGAGGAGGAGTCGGGGGAGTGGATAGCTAACCACCATGAGGGCGAGAAGAAAATGCTCTGAAATCAATTGTGGCCATGACGGCACAGCGCTTCTTGCTACGACCGAATGATTAAATGGTGGGATAGGTGAAGGATATGCCAAAAAAAGGAAAAGCTCATGAGCACTTCCCCCAGAGACGTTAGGAAGCCCCTTCTGAGCTGCAGGGAAACCAGCCCACTGATGGGGAGTAAGAGGAAAGCCATCGAGCCTCGGAGGGTCTGGCGGCGCCCGCGTGGCCCTCTCAGGGCCCTGCTCTCTGTGGGGTAAAGCCCAGGCTGTGGAGCCGACTGGTGGGTTGGTGGTGACACATTGGCCTGCTAGCCACAGGTCAGCAGTTCAAAAGCACCAGCAGCTCCTTGGGAGACAGATGTGACGTTCTACTCTGGTCAGGAGTTACAGTCTTGGGAATGCCTGTGTGTGCGTCTGTGTATGTATATGCGTGTGTGTGTGGCTGCGTGCATGTGCCTGTGCATGTGTGCACATATGTGCGTGCCTGTGCGCATGTGTGCATGAATGTGTGTGCATGTGTGTGTGCATGCACGTGTGTGTGTCTCCACTGACCCACAGCATCTCCGTGTGTGTCAGAGGAGAACTGCACTCTGGGGGACTGTCAGAAGTAGCAGCAGCTTCTCCAGAGTCCTTCAGGAGTGGGTTCTTTGAAGATGGCTCTGGATGGGTCAGCTCTGGGTGGGTCAGCAGCCCAGCACCATAGGGTTCGCAGCCAAGGGCGCCTCTGGGTGGCCAGCCATCTGGCTCCAGAAGGCAGTGGCTCACCTGTAGTCGGTAGCTTTCCCCAATCACAGAAGAAATGACCAAATCCATCCCTTGCTCGATCTGCCTCCTGATCTTCGGGTGCCTGGTGTTCACCAGAAATGCATACGTCTTTTCTAGAAGGGAGGAAGCAGAACCTGTCAGCGGGTGTGTGTGTGTCACACAGACTTCCCTCTCGGGGAGCCCACCAGGCAGTGATGCCCCTGGGAGGGCAGGTTTCATTCCTAATTGGCCTCCCTCACCCCTTCTTCTGACCCAGGCTGCAAAGCCTCACCCCTATTCTGGAAAGATACTTCCGGGCAATGGTGCTGGCATGAAGGGACTTCCGGGAGACAGACGGGACAAGCCACTTAGAAAGCAGCCTCTCCTGGGGCTGCTGTTTATCACACACGCCTCAAAATGCAACATCCCCCCCCCCCAACAGCTTCCTCCTGAGGAGCAAACCTGAAGCGTGTCCAGGGCCGGTTTGCATGTCACCCCTGGCTGTCATGGCTGGGTATTTAAACAGGGATGGCACTGCATCTCACCGAGGCCCTCTGTGCCCAACTCTATGCCATCTAAGCAGAGGGAAGGTTATTTACTAGTTCCTAATTCAGTGCCATCAAGTCCATGCCAACACATAGCAACCCTGTAGGACAGAGCAGAACTCCAGCTGTGGGTTTCTGAGACTGTTACTCGTTATGGGAGTAGACAGTCTCATCTTTCTCCCGAGGAGCAGGGATGATTTCCAGTGGTGGACCTTTACAACTGCAGCCCCACCCAACTGCAGCATCACCACGGTGCTCCCAGAGTGCCCTGTTTACTTATGAGGACATGTGACATGTGAGTAACCCACTTCTTCGGAACATTTCCTGCCCCAGAGCAAGCTCCGTTTCCTTAATGATTCAAGCACTTTGTCTAGAGTAGCGGTTCTCAACCTGTGGGTCGCGACACCTTTGGGGGTTGAACAACCCTTTCACAGGGGTCGCCCGATTCATAACAGTAGCAAAATTACAGTGATGAAGTAGCAACAAAAATAATTTTATGGTTGGGGGGGGTCACCACAACATAAGGAACTGTATGAAAGGGTCACGGCATGAGGAAGATTGAGAACCACTGGTCTAGCGAGACAGAGTTCTAAGTTACCCTCACTGTAAAGGCTGTGCACCAGGCACTAAGGGATGTTGAGATGGGTGCAGGCTGCCTGCACTGGGTCTGAAGAATTGGAGAACTAGACTTGTGGGCCACCAATAAGTCTGATGTCCTCTGGAAATGCATCTCCAACTACCCTGGTTAATGACTTAATATGGCCCTTCTGGCCATGCTCCATCAATTTGTGATGTATTGTAAGTCTTAGCCCTTTTCCCACAGAAAGTGGCGTTTGATCCATGGTGGTGGTCGTCAAGGGTTGTCAAGTTAATTCTGACTCCTAGCATGCCGACCCGGCAGAGTGGAACGGCCCCATAGGGCTTGTGTGTTGTCATCTTTAAGGGCGCTGACTCCCACATCATTCTCTGTTGGAGCAACTGATAGATTCAAACCAGCGACCTTTTTGTCAGCAACCAAGTGCTTAACCATTGTGCCACCTGGCCTAATAAGATCAAAAGGATGCCAACTAAGCTTACTGCCGTTGAGTGCATTCCAACTCATAGTTACCCTCCAGGACAAGGTAGAACTTGTCTTTCTTCCACGATCCATGACTCAAAACAAAGCAAGAGCACCTCACTGCCATTGAGTCCTTGCCAATTCATAGCCACCCTTTAGGACAGTGTAAAATGCTCTGTGGGTTGTGAGAGTAATTCTTTGTGGGAGTAGAAAGCCTTGTCTTTCTCTCGGGGAGCGGATGGTGGTTTAAAACTGTTGAGCTTGCATGAGCAGCCCAACATACAACCAGATACTACCAGGGTTCAGGTGGTTTTATATATATCATCATCATCATCACTCCAATCACTTGTACAATCCATGCAGACTCAAAATGCTAACTCACTTCTTCCTTAGGCAAGAAGTACAGGGAAGCAGGCAGTGGGGCGGGGGGTGGGGGGTGGACGCAAACATGGTTTATACATCAAAAGACAAGACTTCAATGAGTACAAGGAGGCCATGGGCAAGAACAAGGAGGGGTGGGGGGTGAATAGGATATTGAGGGAGGTTGAGGGGAGGAAAGAAAGAGAACTATATACCATATATACTTGAGTATAAGCCAACCCGAATAGCAGCCAAGGCACCTAATTTTACCACAAAAACTGCATTAAAAATGTGCTGAAAAACTATACACGAGTACATACGGTACACGGAAGGTCTAACGGGATATTTTTAATTTCCTTTCTTCAGATAGGTTGTGTGAATATATACAGTGTACTTCTTTAAAAAACAAAACAAACATCCCTCCAGATGCCTTATCACTCAAACCTAAATATTGGACTGAGAGGCTAACAAAAAAGGAAAAGGAAAACCGAAATGGACTTGAAGTCTTTAGAGAACAGCAAGTTCATTTCAGACAAATAGACAATCAACTCACTTCCTGCCTAGACAGGAAGTACCAAAGGTCAGCTCACTTCCTGCCTAGACAGGAAGTACCAAAGGTCAGCTCACTTCCTGCCTAGACAGGAAGTGCAAGAGAAAACTGGAATGCTTCTTCCCTAGACTCCTGGAGAGGTTGGTTCTGCTTGCTTGTGCCGTGCTTGGGATGGGTCAGCATGCCAGGCACCCTGCTCCTGGCCTTGCCACAAGCTGATACCGACAATGCCTTCTCCATTCAACATTTCACCCTCACCAGGCTGCTGCTGTTCACCTCCCAGTAAAGCAGAGCCACATCCAAAAGACTTAGTCACCTACCTCTTGAGGTGTCTTTTTTGCTGCGCACATTAACGAAGAACAGCATTGGTTTGCTTAGAATGGTTTCCCTGTAGTTTTTATAATCGCAGTAGTTGGTCAGTTCGACATACCTACAGAAAAGCAGAGGTCATTGTAAAGTTAATGTCCCTGCCCATCGAAATCAGTGCCTGCCACATCAATAGACTCTTGAGGAAAGCCACCCTCCTTACCCCGACACAGCCATATTGTATGCTGGATATGCCCTTGCCTGGCCCAACCCTGACGTGGCCATGGTCTTCAGAATGGCTTGGCAACAGTATGGGCTTTCAGAGTTGGCCTTGACCTTGGTCAGTACCCTTATCTTTTGAGGCTACAAGTGTTAGATTTGAAGTAAGAGCTGTACATCTGCTCGCTGCCATGTGAATGAACCCTGAGAACAGCATACTGAGCAAATTAAATGAGCCACAAAAGGCCAGATACTGTGCGATCTCACTTACAGGAGACGGACAGAGGGACCAAAGATTAACAGTGGTTACCAGAGGTGGGTGGGAGGTGAAGGGGTCTAGGTTTTGCTCGGAGGGAAATGAGTTGATGTTAATGGGGGAGAAACCATTCAGAACCAGGGAGTGGGAATGGTGGTGCCCGTGAAGACTGTCATCCATGTGTCTGAATTACTGAGCTGCTAACCCCAAGGTTGGTGGTCTGAAGCCCCTAGCCCTTCTGCAGAAGGAGGGGTTATCTCCTTCATTGAAGACTTACAGTTCAAATTGAGTTGATTTAGTGTGGGGGCAGGTAGGGGGTAGGTTCTTGTCACAGCTCCAAATCATGGTGTCAAATGAAGGTGAGATCTGCCTGTTTATTTATTTATTTTCTCCAGCGATCTCAACATTTTATTAGGAGCTCTTACAGATAGAATTGCCATCCATAGTTCCATTGGGTAAAGCATAATTGTACAGATTCTGCCATCATCAGTTTCAACACATTTCTTTTCTTCTTGAACTCCTTGATATCAGCTCCCCTTTATCCCCTCCCTCCCCCACCTTACCACCCCCCTGAACCCTGAGTATATCTATAACCTAAACTTACACCATCCCATGTGTCCATTCTCCTTGAATTCGAATGTGTGCTCCCTTCAAGAGGGCTTATACAGTCATCATAGCTATCTGTTCCCCTCCCTGTAGCCTCAGGAAGTCAATACTCCCCTTACTGTTGAATTCCGTGCATTGAAAGATCTTGGCTGCACCCATGTACATATGCGGGATCTGCCTATTTTAATCCATAATTTAGTTGGTGAAGTGTTGGGCTGCTAACCACAAGCTCAGCGTTGAAACCCACCAGGTGCCTCATGGGGAACAGATGAAGCCAGTCTGCTCTTGTAAAGACTGACAGCTGCAGAAACCCATGAGGGGTAGGGGTGGGGGGTGGGCGGCCAATTCTGTTTGGTCCTGTGGGGTCACTGTGAGTTGGAATCCACCTGACTCCAATGAGAGTGTGCGTTTCCAGCGGAGGAGCCCCTGGGTGGGACAAACAATGAACACACTCCCCAAGCGTGGGTGGGTCTAGGTCGCTTCCAGGGGACACAGAAAGAAAACCCTGGAGATGTGTTTCTGAAACTCCACGTGTGGGACGGCCATGTGTCCCTCGACCCCATGGCACCTGGTGTGGGGATTTCTCAGGGAGATGTGCCCTGTGAGGAGGGTTTCAAAGAGTTTGGTGGGGGGCAGAAGGGTAGGAAATACCATTAATCTTTTCATTCTGTTTTTCCACATTCTGAAGACCCCCTTCCCTCTATATAACGGATGGATCTGAGACTTCCTTTTCCTTCTCCTCCCCCTTCCCCTCTCCAGTCCCTCCACAGACTGTACAGTCAACCTGTATACGTGCCAACTGTCCATCCTGACCCCAAGCTGCTCCGTCAACATAAATAATTTTTTTAAATCAATGTTGCACATGTACCCATGGACCAAATGCCACGAAGTCAAACTCCGACTGCTCGCGACCCTATGGGACAGCGAGGAACTGCTCCCGAGGATTCCCAAGACAGTTAAGTCCTTCCTGAAGGGAGTGGCAAGTCCCACCTTTCTCCTTCAGAGCTGGTGGGGTGGCCCTGAAACTGCTGGCCTTGGGTCAGTAGCAGAGCGCTCCCCAAAGGGGCCACCAGGGCTTCCTCTGAGGGGAAGACTCCTTCTTAAACCCTGAACTCGTTCACAGGCAGGGGCAGCTGCACGGGAAAGTGGGCTGGCAAAACCCACTGGGGCTGCTCTAGACTAACTGGTGTGCTCGTTTCTCACACCAAGGAGAGAGAGAGAGGGCTCCACATGCCTCTTCCCTGCTGCCTTGTCCTTAAGAGCTGAGAGCAAGGCCCTCAGGGCCCTTTCAGTGGCCACACTGCCCCTCAGGACCCATGTGGATTATGCCTGCTGCCATCTGCTCCCTGAGAGCCCACGGCTCAGTGCTTCCCCCAGCCCAGTCCTTCCTTCCTTTCTAGCAGGTTCTCTCCGTTCAGCCCAGGGGCAGGCCTGCCCTGTGATACACCCACATCCTAGCCAGACCATGCCCCAGGGAAGAGGATGGCAGATTGTTCCTTTCTTCACTCGATGATGCCCCACTGCCCCTTGCTCCTCCCCAGACCACAGACACTCTCACTCAATGGCTGCGACCCTTCCAAAGTGTTCTTTGTGGACTGTGTTTGCACCCAGGTCCTGTGCCCCCTTGTTGTTCCCGATGCTCAGCTGCCAGGCCGCCCCTGCTGTGTGAGTTTCTCCTGGCCAGGAGCTGTTCAGAGCAAGAGTGTCCAGACCACACTTTCCAAATTATTTTAACTGTGGCGACAGGGCCTTCGACCAGGACTGAGAGGAGCTTGTTCTCATTCAACACCTAACCTATGGCTGCAATCACGCTGGGTCTTCTTCTTTCTTCTGCATGCTCTGCTCTCGAGTCCAGTGATTCTCTCTCTCTCTCTCTCTCTCTCTCTCTCTCTCTCTCTCTCTCTCATCTTTACAACCTTGATTCCTAACTCATTTCCTCCCCCAGCCCCCTGCCTCTGAGATGCAATTCTGATTTCAAGTGGGGAAGGCTTCCCCGGCACACAAAGCCCTCCCTTCCAGTTGTTTGGTTTGTATTTTTGCTTTGTTTCCAGGCTCCGTGAAGAAGCCCATGGCCACAGAATGGATTCTGATTCAAAGCAACCAGATCTCTAGAGCAGACTGGAACCACTCCCTGGGGTTTCTGAGACTAACTCTTTGGGGGCGCAGACAGCCTTGGCTTCCTCCAGGGGAGGGGTGAGTGGGTCTGAACTGCCCGCTGGCCTGGTAGTTAGCAGGTGCTTGACCGAGGTGCCACTACGAAAGATGGCATCTGAAAGATGTCATTTATTTGCTGGTGCCTGCCGGGGCTCCCTCCCTCCCACGGTGGGAGGAGGAGTGGTACAGCGCTGTCTCTTTCCTGAAGCAAAGGCCTTCAGTCCTAATAGCTGGTGCTTACTCATCTCTGACTCACCCCTTAGACTGGACTTGCCATATTTCGGTCACTCTGTCCCAAAGCACAAATAGAAGAGGGCTGTGGCCCCTCAGGGTGGCCTCTGGAGGCAGGGGGGCAGAACTGGATCAAGCCCCTTCCCAAGCAACATCCAGGTCATAGCCTGCTCTGCTGTGTGGCATCCCTGAGGGGCCATCTTTGCTGAGAAGGGTCCCAGGGGGCCCGAACGTTCTATGGCAACTTCAGTTAAATATTCCAGAACACACCCTCAATCCAAGCCCTGGTTTGCACCCTGGGGCTCTGCCGCTGTTCCGGAACCTCTCAGGACTCACACACCCGCCTTCCCAGAACTTAGCTGCCCACACCTCCCTGCCCAGCTGCATTCCCCTCTCTCCCTTGGGTTGGCTGTGTTTTCACAAGCCTTGGGGGCAGAGTGGTTCCATGTTGGGCTGCTCACTGAAAGGTCAGCAGTTTGAAACCACCAGCCAGGAGAAAGAAAGGGTTGTCTTCTCCTGTAAAGAGTTACAGTCTTGGAAACCTGCAGGGGCAGTTCTGATGGCAGTGAATTGGGTCTGGGGCTTGGGGTTTACAAACCCAGCTAGGGGCGGGTTATGGCAAACTTTGAGCTACCTGCCCGCTCCCCCCCACCCCCCGCCCCGCCCCCATCTGCAGAGGGCCGGGTCTTCTCAGGACAAAGCAAGAAGT